ACAGAATAACATTTCCTCCCTCGTCTTCCCCTCTTTGGCTTTTCCTCCTCCCTCGCCCCCTGGTTTTTTATTTGTTGCATTCAAATAAACTTTCCTCCCCGGAGGCGGGGTTTGCTCCCGCAGAGAGGGAGGGTTGAAGTTTTGCTCCCTTTTAAAAATTATTTATTTAATTTTTTTCTTTTTTTTTCTTTTTTTTTTTTTTTTTTTTTTTCTTTTTTTTTTTTTTTTGAGGGGATGGAGGGGAGAGGAAGGCGGCTTTAGAGCTGCCCTCTCGCTCCCGGGCTAAGCAGGAGCACCTCGCACCCCCCTACATCTTTCACCTCCCTTCCCTCATCCTTTCGTCCACACCCTCCCACCCCCAGCATCCTTCATCCCCCTTCCGTTTTCTAAAGAGGCTTATAAAAAAGGGGAAGAGCAACTTTTTATATGGGCAGATAGTGAAAGGATGAGGGGGACAGCTTTAAACTAAAATAGGGGAGATTTAAGTGGCGTATTGGGAAGGAATTGTTCCTTGTGAGAGTGGGGAGGCCCTGGCACAGGGTGCCCAGAGAAGCTGTGGCTGTCCCTGGATCCCTGGAAGTTTCCAAGGTCAGGTTGGATGGGGCTTGGAGCACCCTGGGATAGCGGAAGGTGTCGCTGCCCATGGCAGGGTGATGAAATTAGATGGTCTTTAAGATTCCTCCTAACTCAAACCATTCTGTGATTCCCCTCCATCCCTTCCCAGCTTTTTCTTTTTAGGGGGAAACGGGATAAATAATCAAAGACGTGAGTGCCAGTGAAAGATTCTCCCCATTGCAGCAGATTCCTCCAGCCCCTGCTTTCAGCTCATCTCAGGGAAGAGAGAACACCTTGTTCCCAACTTGCACATCTCTGCAGTGAAGCACTGCCCCGTGAACAGACTTTCTCGTGGGTTTTCAGCATCGCTTGTCAGCGCTTGCTATTTGAAGCCTATAACCCTTTTTTCTCCCAAGACAGCAGATTTGTCGCCGGGGATGTGAAAAATGAAGGTGGCTGAGAGGGCTGGTGAGTGAGCTGTGGCCTTGGAGACATGGATGGGGCTGGAGAGGTGTCCTGGCCATGTAGGAGATATTGCTGGATCTGACCCCGAGGCACCAAAAAAAGGAGGGAAAAAAATCCAACACTTCCTGTAAATGCATTTTTCAGGACCTCAAAAACGCCGGCAGCGATGCCGTGAGATGCTCCACCCCAGCAAGTATTCCTTCCCTGGCTCTCCCTTCCCACCCTCCGCCCTGCTTCCCTGCTCCCCCCAGGCCTGGGTGTCTCCTGGCTGCAAGGATGACATCCCCACCGTGTCCCCCCCAGCTGTCATTTTGGGATGTATTTCATCCCCGCTTGGTTCTGTAGGAGCTGTTCCTCAGCTGCTGGCTTTGAGCATCTGACAAGCAAAGGAGATTTGTTGAAACGCTCATCCCATGTCTAAGGCATCCCTTGATTCCCATCACCCTAGCTTCTAAGCTTGGTGGTGCCAAGGGAACTGCTGTCAGCACCCCAAAGCTGGGCAGGACATGGTGAGACCCAAAGAGAGCTTTATGTGTCCCCTTCTCTTAAAAATATTCCAAATTAGTGATTCCAGTATCAGGACCATCATCCTGAGGCTGTCGGATGTGACCACCAGAGCCCATGCAGCCCTTGCAGCCACCACCAGACTTTTTGGAAGCTGATATATTTTTTTTTTCCGCCCTCAGAGCTTTATTGTGGTTCGATTTTTTCGGCACCTCCTCCCATGGGTCCTATCCAGGCACTGGGTGCTCTGATGGTGCAGGGCTCCTCCCTCCCTCCCTGGAGCCGGGTGGACACCCACAGATCAGACGGCTTTCTCCAAATCTAAATATTTTGCGCCCTCTCCTGGGTCCAGATGGCGTGGCCCGACCCTCCCACCCCGTCACCTTCCTCCTGTCTGGGAGGAGATGGGGACGTCAGGCTGGGCTTGTCCCTCCAGCCACCGCTATCGCAGCCCCCCAGCATTTTGCCCTTCCATTGCAGGAACCAGAAGATGCATCAGAGGGGATTTGGGCGTGGGTGAGCTCAGGCCAAGGGAGAGCACAGGGCTGCCTTTGCCTCCTCCATCACATTCTGTGCCCCAGCCCAGAGTCATTGTCACCACCAGGACAGAGACACAGCTCCTGTGACACCAGGTAGTTTGAGCTAATGCTGCTGCAGGATCCCTCTCTGTTCCAGCTCAGCCGTGATGCTGAGATCTCTGAGCATCATCCAAGAGCCTGTGACCACTCTGGACATGCTCCTGATGCTCATGACAGCAAGGAGACACACTGGGACTGCCAGCACTGCATGCTTGGGTGGCCATGCTGAGGGGACACTGGGTACCTGCAGCGAGCAAGTCAGGATGGAGCTGCACGCTTGGCCAGCTGCAGGCAGCCAAGCTGGAGGGGTGCTCAACCCTGGAGATTTGAAGGAAATTACTTAAATCCACTTAGGTGTGATTATTACAAGCAGACAAGGAAAATGCAGTTATCCACATATATATTTTTATGTATATATATACACTGTATAGATACATATATTGTTTTCAGGCAGAGAATTTCTGCACTGCAGAGCCTGTGCTGGGCCACAAACCTCCCTCTGCTCAGATATATTCTATGTACATACAGTGGGTGTATTCACCCATCTGAGAAAGAGCAGGGAGTTAATTCTATACATTCTATATGTTATAGAAGACTCGCAGAGCTATAAGTGCTGCATCCACCTGGCAAATCCCTCCTCGCTGGGAGGGAGCAGCATCCCAACAGAGGCTGTGGGAGCAAAGCTCGATCCCCAGCCCCATGGAGAGACCAAACCAGTTGTGGGATGTATGCTGACACGGCCAGGACACTGAGTAGCTCTCTGTGGCATGCATCTTCCAACTCCAGGTATTGTGTCCACACATGCTGCCTCTGATTGTGGTGGATCCTGGTTAGGAGGTGACAGCAGGACACCACTGACACAAGGATGGGCCAGATTTGGGGTACTGGGCTAAGCAGGGAGCTGGACTCAGATGAAGGTCCTCAGGCAGGTGACAGTGCTGCTGGCTTGTGCTAACCCAGCCCATGGTCGTGGCTTCAGTGGGAAATCCAGCACGAGTGTTCCAGTTACCCTGATGTCCTCTTTCCCTGCTCCCACACTGTCCAGGGGTGCTCCTCCCACCATTTTGCAGCACCAGCAATATCAGTGAGCCTGTGTCTCCTGCTGGTGTGGCCTCATTCCTGGCACTGGGGGACAGGGATGTCCCAGTGTTACCCAAAAAACATCTGTGACACTGATATTGAGCCGGAGAAACATGACCCCATGATACGGGCTGGATCAAACCCTGCCCAGTCATTGCATGCTGTCCCCATCAGGGAATTTTTAATTGAGTATGGGCACAAATCATCCCCCAGCAGCTCGTCCTGAGCCAGGGATGTCTCCTCCATGGTCCCATCTTGTTCTCCACGGTCCCAGTGGATTTTTATTGCATCGGTGGCTTGACCACCAAGGTGCTGAGCTGCTCCAAAAGAGACACTGGATCTGTGGTGGGGCCGATAGTGCACCACTGCAGGCTGGACATAGGCTGAAAATGCTGAAAGCTTGGGAGATGCCATCCTGCTCTCCTCCAGCATGTCCCCAGTGAATGATGAATGAAGCCATCTCTGCTCTGTGGAGCTTAGAGCCGAAACTGCCCCGTGCCTCAGCACCACCAAGGTGGCCTCGTGCCCTCCTAGGAGCCGTAGGTGATGCAGTGGTCGTGACGCCACTTGGAGCTCATCTTGTCCAGGAGGTAGCGGGTGCTCTCCCGGAACTTGCGCTGGGTGAAGTAGAAGAGGATGGGGTCGAGGACGCTGTTCATGCTGGCGAAGGGCCGCGTGCACTTGTAGGCGATGGCAAAAGCCTGCAGCTCCGGGCAGGGCAGGGTGGGCGAGGAGCGGACGATCAGGTAGATGGTCTTGGTGAGGTGGAAGGGGAAGAAGCTGATGGAGAAGACGATGACCACGATGATGACCATCCTCACGGCTTTGTCCTTCCTCTTGTGCACGGCCAGGCCGATCAGCTCGTCCTTCTGGCACAGGATGCGGGCCATGCTGCAGTAGCAGGCCAGGATGGCCACGAAGGGCAGCAGGAAGCCGGTGAAGGTGAGGGTGATGCCGTAGGGGAAGTAGGCGGCCGAGCGGTCGGGCGGGCTCAGGTCGTAGCACACCGTGCGGTTCCTCTGCGTGCCCGTGGAGGCGAAGACGAAGGTGGGCAGGCACTGGGCAATGACAATGAACCACACGGCAGCACACACCAGCCACGTCAGCTTCTTGCCTTTCTTCTTGTGCCACGAGGCCAAGGGGTGGCAGATGCCCAGGTAGCGCTGGATGCTGATGCAGGTGAGGAAGAAGATGCTGCTGTGCAGGTTGGTGTAGAACTGGAAGCGCACGAATTTGCAGGTGAAGTCCCCGAAGGGCCAGTAATCCTTCTGGGTGTAGTTGTAGATGAGGAGAGGCAGGGAGCAGACGTAGAGCAGGTCAGCCATGGCCAGGTTGAGCATGTAGATGGTGGTACGGCTCAGCGCCTTCCTCGCCAGCCAGATCTGCCCGATGACCACGGCATTCAGGGGCAGCCCCACCACGAACACCACTGAGTACACCAGGGGCAGAAGGACCTGCTTGAACTCCTCGTGGTAGGTGCACGAGTTCCTCCCGGTGCTCACGGCTGTCAGGTTGGCCATGGTGGTGTTCCCACCCCTCAATGTCCTCTGTGCTGACGTGGCCACTCCGCGACACCTGTGAATGTCAGAGGGGGCAGCTGGTGACTCGTCCGCGTGCTGTCACATACACCCTCACAGAATGAACCTGGACCAGTGTTCTCCAGGTTGGGGCAACCCCCAGTACCCACACAGGCTGGGGGATGAAGGGATGGAGAGCAGCCCTGAGGACAATTTGGGGCTGGTGGTGGGTGAGAAGCTGGACATGACCCAACCATGTGCAGTCATGTGCAACCCCCCGTGCCCTGGGCTGACCCCCCAGCGTGGGCAGCAGGGGAGGGGGGATTCTACCCCTCTGCCCCTGTGCTCAGGTGAGATCCCACCTGCAGAGCTGTCCCAGCCCTGGGGCCAACAGCAGAAGGACGTGGAGCTGCTGGAGAGAGTCCAGAGGAGGCATCGGAGCTGCTCCATGGCTGGACCCAGGCTAGGAGAGCTGGGCTATCCAGAGAAGCTGCGGCATCCCTGGAAGTGTCCTGGCTGGACGGGGCTTGGAGCGCCTTGGGCTAGTGCAGGGTGTCTCTGCCCATGGCAGGGGGGTTGGGATGAATCTTTAAGGCCACTTACAACCTAGACCCTCCTGTGATTCCATGATTCTAAGCCACCACGATGGATTTAGGGGTCTAACAGGAAAGCGAAGGCAGAGTGAATGGCCACACTTGCCACCATCCCAGCTCCACTTCCCGTGGCAGTTATCCCCAACAGAAAGGTTTGCACAAGGCCAAGCCGCTGTCATTCCCCTCCGGCAGAGGAAATTGCAGCAGGATGCGCCGGTAGCCGCCGGCACGGCTTCCCGAGCTTCTGCAGGGGGTGCCAAAGCCCTGCAGCCAGCCGGGCTCAGCCCGGGAGATGCCACCCGCACGGAGCCCTGCGCGACCCTCGTGGGCACTGCCAACCTGTAATTGGCATTGGCGACAACGAACCCGGCGCTTTTTAATTTAGTGGGCTCAGAGAACCCACGCAATGTCCTCAGAGCTGCTCTGAGCAGGGGAGGAGCACATCTGCTTTCCTCGGAGGCTGAGAGCAGTGTGGCAAAGTGGTCCCGCAGCCCCATGAGCCCCCTGCCCCAGCCGTGTCACCGGGCAGCATCTCCCTCCACTCCGCCCCTGGGTACCACCCGCGCCCGGAGCGCAGCAGGTCCGGGACAGCAGCACCGGGAAAGCCGCTCCTCATCCCTGCCCTCGCTCCCTGCCCTGCCCTGCTGTGCCCTGGCCAGAGACACCGGGCCAGCCCTCGCTTGCCCTGCTGCCCTGGGCACCAACCTGCCTGGACCGGGGTGGCCACTGGGGAGGGGAAACTGAGGCAGCGAGGAGGTGCCAAAGCTCCAGCCGGAGCATGGGGCACAGGGCACTAGGGAGAGAGAGACAAACGAGTCCAGGGGCCGCCCCTTCAGCTTGTACACCCGTGTTTCAGGTGTTTGGGGATTCAGCAGTCCCCAGAGCACAGCCCAGCCATGGCGTCCGTGTTGGGGACACAATTCTGAGGCTTGTGAATCAGTCCCCCTGCTGCTGCACACACCTCGTGTCCCCCTGGCTCCCTGCCGAGTCCCCCTACACCACCATTCATCCCCTCACACCCCATTTGAATCCCTCTGTCACCTCACTGAGCCCTCATCACCCCCAGCATCCCACTGTGCTCCCCTAAACCCTGCTGAGCCCCCCTGCATCCATCCCACTGTCACCTCACTGTCACCCCAGCTCCAGGCAGTCCCGGCACTCACCACTCCCACCTCCAAGCCAATAAATGCTCCAGGGCTGTGAACTTCACTGTCCCCCGGGTCCCCTTAAGCCCCCGCTGGGTCCCCCCAAACCCAAGGTTGGGGCAGCACCCACAGGAACCTCTGCCATTCCCTATGTGTCCAGGGGAGTATCAGCAAGGACACTGCGGACAAGGGCAGGGGTGTTTTGGGGGTCCTCTTACCTGCTGGGTGCCCCAGGGTGCTGGCACCACTGCTCTGCCAGCTCTTGGCACATCTGTGGGTGCTCATCCCACTGATCAGCACTTCCCTTTCCTCTCAGCGTCAGCAGCACCCCAGGGAAATAGGGAACAGAAACCCAGCTGGCAGGGTGGCCACAGGGCTGCCTGGAACGGCTGGCACTGCCTGGCTGTGGCACAGCACAAATGCCACCAGGGCAGGGGATGCTCCTGCCTGCATGTGCCAGGATGCAGTTGGCTCAGGCCATTATGAATTATTTTCTGTAATTTTTTAAAATTTTCCACCTCATTTTTTGGCCACTTTGCCTCATTGTTGAGTCTCCTCCATTTTTGCCTCAGTCCCCTCATATTTGGCTCCTTCCAAGTGTGGGTAGATGTTGGGGACAGGGAATGTCCCTGGCACTGTGGCACCAAGAGGAAGAAAATGCTCCACCTGTCCAGGTGCTTTAGTAAAACAAGGGAAACTGAGGCACAGGCACTGAGTTTGAAGTGAACCAGTGTGGCCTACACCCCTTTTTAACATATTGTTCCCCCAAAACACCCCTTGGAGGAGTGTTGGCAGGGCATTGCTAAGGGCCATGCCCAAGGCTACCTAGGCCTTCACTTATGGAGGCAAAAAGAAGAGATCCCCCCAAAAAATGGCAAATGAGGAGAAAAACCCTCTTTGTAAGAGTGAAACCATGCTGCTGGGTTTGGAGGGATGAGAAAACTGGAGGAGAGGAGGAAAAATCTTTCCTGATCCCAGGGAAAAGCCAGACACTGGAGAATCCCCATCCCAACTCTATCCAGGGTCTGCAGCTGCCCAAACCCCCAATCACATTCTACCAGCAGTCACCAATTAATGAAACCAATTAATGAAACCACACTGAGACCCGCAGCCTCAACCAGTTTCTGTGCCCAGGGCATGTTCCTACCTCATTGTCTGTCCAGGTGGATTATCTCAAAAGTTCCTTTGCTCACCCCAAAACCCCATCATGGGAATCCCTGCCAGCTCTTGGAGTGAGGGGGTTGCCAACTCTCAAATCCATAGGAGCTGGTGCCCTGCCACCACAGTGATGGGCACTGGCTGAAATCCACTTTTTCATGGAAATGAAACTTTTAGGGGGAAAATGGGACTTTTAGAGAGGGGAAAAAAAGGAGATGTCTGTGGTGTTGGGAAGGGTCAGGATGGGGTCACCCTCACCTCACAGGTTTAAGGTGCCTGAAGAAGAGGAACAAGGATCAGGAAAGAGAAGTGGGGCTGCTCTGTGGCCAGATGGAGAAAAGATTAAAAATAATCTCCAGCAGCCTCGAACTTCCCTCTGCACATGCCCCCTCCAACCTCTTTGCTTTCAAACCAAGCCCTTCTCCAGTGGAATTCGCTTGAATTAACACCCTGCTATTGATTTGAAGGGGGATTCTGCAAGCTGGATGCACTGGGAAAAGCTTTTGGACGTTGCTGCCCTTGAATAGGATGTGGGGGAGGGCTTCCTCCATGGTTTATCTTTCCTCATGCTGGTCTTTGTGGCTCGCTGGCAGGGCTGGAAAGCTGGGCTGGGTGGAAGTGAAAGCTCCAGCTCAGCAAATTTCTAAGAGCATGAAAGGGGGATGCTCCATCCTGCATGTCACTTGGCCAAAGCCACCACATCCTCATCTCCAGACATCTCTTGGATGGTGCCAAAATATCTTGAGTTGCCCATCTGCCCACTGGGAACCAGGCTTGGATGTTTTAAGGGAAATCTCTATTTAGTGAAGACTGAGGGTGTAACGATGTGGAAAAATTGGGACAACACTGGGAATTATGAGGTAATAAACATGGATTGTTGGGAATGGGGCACAGGGTGGTGACAGAGCCACTCTATCCTTGGGTGACCACCTTCATCTCCCCACATCAAACCCCACAATTTGGTGCCCCAACATAAATCAGCACCTCAGGGAGGCTCTGGGCAACCTGGGCTGCAATGCCGTGCTGGAAAGGGAATGATGGGGACAGGGAAGGTGCAATGAGCTTTCCCAATCTCAACTGGCCTATACCTGATACATGTAAATATAAATATAAATATAAATATAAATACAAGTACGTATGCAAATATATACCTCTATACATAAATACACCTCTGCACATCTCTCTACATATATCTCACTCCATCCAACCATATCTATGGCTCTCCACACACACGGAATTCCTGTTTGTAAATATAAATGTCTCCACTCACACACACACACACACACACACACACATACACAAACTTCTAAACCCCTATACACAAAGGTATGTCCCTGAGCACATGGAGTCACACTCATGTTGATACATAACTCCATCCATATGTACAGAAATCCATTTATACATCTATACACTCATGTCTATGCAGACATGCTCATATATAGGAATATATTTATACCTCTGGATGTATACATGCACAAATATATATAAATATATATAAAAGGTAGAGGCCAGCCTACTGACACCCACAGCAGAGGTGCTAAGGAAAACCAGGTCCTCCAAGCAGATTTAAGCACATTTAGGTGCAATACAACCTCTGGCACAGGGCTGATCCCTATGGATGCCTGAGGGATGCAGGCACGCCCTGGGTGCACCCCAGACCATGGGAGCAGAGGGACAGGGGAGAATCCACCCTGCACCAGCCCTGCCAGGGGAATCACGGCGGGATTTTGAGCCCTGCTCCATGGTAAGAGCTGCCAAACCTCCCCGAGAGCAAAGTCGGGCAGATTCCGTTTGGAGCGGCTCTGGGATCGCCCCAAATCCCAGCTGAAGCACGGATGGTCTCTGGATCTGACCCCATTCTCTCCTGTTCTGCCTCTTCCTGCCCAGTTCAATTCCATCTGTTTGGGTCCAGTTCTGCCCAGTCTGCCCCATCCTGCCCAGTTTGGTTTGACTCAGTTGGATCCCACCCTGACGAGTTCAGCCTTACCCCTCGGGTCTGATCCTGCCCGGTTTGCTCTGACCCACTCGAATCCCATCCTGCCCAGGTGGGTCTGACCCCGTTGGGTCCCATATTGCCCTGTCCTGTCCCATCCTGCCCACTCGGATCCCATCCTTTCCCGGTTTGGTTTGTCCCGTCCCCCGCTCCCCATTTGCGGCATTTACCGGCAGCGGGATGTGCCGGGAAAGAGCGGGTTCACTCTGACCCTGTAAGATCCCATCTTGTCTGGGTGGGTCTGACCCTGTCCCTTCCTACCCGGTCCAGTCCCATACAGTCCGGTCCAGTTCCATCCCGTCCTTCCAGCCCTACCCTGCCCGCTTCACTCTGGCACACTTGAATTCCATCCTTTCCCGGTTCAGCTTGTCCCCGTACTCCCGGTACGCGGCACTTACCAGAGAGGGATGCGCCGGGAGACAGTGGCTTCACTCTGACTCTGTAGGGTTCCATCCTGCCCTTTCCAGCCCCATCCTGCCCTTTCCAGCCCCATCCTGCCCTTTCCAGCCCCATCCCGCCCTTTCCAGCCCCATCCTGCCCGGTTCGCTCCGACGCACCAAGAACCCAACCTGCCCGGTTGGTTCTGACCCTTTAGGGTCCCAGCCTGCCCCTTTCACACGGACCCTATCGGGTCCCATCCCGGCCCCATTCGGTGGATCCCATTCCCACCGTTCGCGGCACTTACCGGCAGCGGGATGCGCCGGGAGCCCGCGGCACGGAGCTCTCGGAGCCGCCCCGGTGCCGCCGCCGCTCCGCCCCGGGGCCGCCCCGCTCCGCCCCGCTCCGGCCCGGGCACCTGCGGGAGAGCCCGGAGGGGGCTGGGGAGGGCTCACAACTGGGCTGGGGCGAGGCAGAGAGGAGAAACAGCTGGACTGGGGGCGGCCAGCATGGAGGCTCCTGGGCAAACATCTGGCTCAGGGTTTTGGGCGAGCATCTGTATCAAAGCAGATGTCGCGGAGCTTCCCCGAAAGTGGGGTTTGCAGGGTGGGATGCCCACGCCCTAGGGAACAGCTGGATTGTCGTGGCCCTGGGTATCGGGGACAGGGTCTCCCCGCGGCACCGGGGCACAGCCAGAGGGCTCGGTGCCTCCCGTACCCATTAACCCGGCGGTCAGTGCTCCGCGCTTCCTGAGCAGGGCTATTAAAGAGCAATAAGGCAAAGAACCCCGGGGGGACGGCTTGGGTATGGAACGGCAGATGCATAAACAGCGCTGGGATGCTGAGATTTCCCGGGATGACGGGCTTGACCCTTTCTCTCCCTGAAAACCCTCCAGAATTATTCCCTGCTTTCTCTTTAGAGGTTTGTGATGGGTCTCGGTGGATGTGGAAGGGAAGCAGGTGCTGAAGGCATTACCCAGATGATGGAACTCCAAAGGGGGGCTTCCCAGTGTCACCTCATTGAGCAGGCAGCCAGATATGCCGTGAGAGGGTTTGGAATGGATGGTGCAGTGGAATGAGGCATCTGGATCCTGCCGCAGTGGACAACACGGTCTTTCATCGATCCTGGCGTGAGCCCACGGCCCAGCCGGGCAGCGTGGCCGCGGGAGAGATGGGCTCTGGCAGGATCCGACACGAATATTTGCAACCACAGCCAGGCTGGAGCCATCCCTGACATCCCGGGACTGCCCGGGCTTGTGGGGTTGGATCGGCGATGGCTCGGTGCCCCGGTGAAATTCCCCGCTCCCTCAGCCTCCAAGGGGAGAGGAAAACTGGGGAGGAAATATGCTTTTCCCCAGAAAACACACCTTGTGCAAACAAGCCCAACGTCCTGGGATGGGGAGCTCAGGACTTCCCACGAGCATCCGGGGAATGCAGCTGGGGATGGACTCATTCCCCCGGTGAACTGACAGTGAGGGAACCTATCCCACCTCCAGGGCTGCCTCTGGCTTTAGGGAAGGCGGGTGTTCTCCTCCCTCCCGGCGCTGCGGGTGCCCTTGCAGGCCCTCAAGGTGAACAGCCGGCTGTCCTGCTGTGGGGACACTGTAAATAGTGGTGGGAGTGTTAAAAAACAAAATATATAATAGTGGCTCCTGGCTGCCTGCCAGCTCCAAACGCCTCCACCGAGCCACAAGCCCAGCCCTGGAGCACCTGGAATTAATGGGAAATCCCCAAAAATGGCATTTTGGGGGCTGAGCGGGGATAGAAGAGGAAAATTTGGAGGCCGTAGCTGGGTCTAAAAGAAGAGATTTCAAGCAAACCATTGTTTCGATACCTCTTTTTATTCACACCGAAGGATCATCGGGAAAAATAAGTGGGGAAAGGGTCTAGCCTGGGTTCCCCTTGGAGTCTGAGCGAGTGAATTAATCCTTGGCAGAAGGGCCTGGCACAGTGGCTGGATTTGAGTTTCCGAGCCCCTGGTTTCTGTTCCTCCGGCTGGACGTTGCCAGTAACTGCATTAGCTCCTGAGTGCAGGTGACCTTTGCCACTGCTGCTCCCGGGGGTAATTGCACCTTCCCACTGGTATCCAGGCTTCCAGCTGCCAGCAGATCCCAGAATGGCTGGATGTAGACAGGACCATTTGTGGTCAAGGCCAGGGAGGCAGTTTGGAACTGGGACCGTGGTCTTTCAATGGCTGCCAAACCCCTTGGGAGTGAAAAGCAGCACTTTTCAAATGCTGGAGCTTTGTGGGAGCCTCGGGGCTGGGATGTCCCCACCGACAGATGCTGGCTGTCCCTGTGGGGAGGTTCCTCAGAGTTCTCAGGTTGTTCCCGAGCACAGACATGCAGGGATCAGACCGGGTCCCTTCTGCCTCGGGCTCCGCCGTGTCTCACCAGACCGGAGATGCCTTGCATGAAGAATTTCATTACATCTAAAAGCTATTTATAACGGAAATTGAGTTCATTTCTCATGTTCTGACAACTCCAGCCTGCCAGGGTGGTGGATCTGGTTGAGCTTGCTCATGAGGAAGTGACATTTGATGACAACTTTCTCTTTTTAAGCCAGCTCAGAGGATATGGTCACCCCAGACTCCTCCATGGACAGCTGCTATCCCAGCAATTTTGAGTCCCTGGATTTTTGGCAGAGAAGGTGTTTGGTGCAGAAAGTCTCATCTCCTGAGGTCTACTCTGATGGAGCCCTGCACCTTCTTGCTGCAACCAGAGTTCACCACAGCCAGAGCAGTGCAGCCAGCTGGGGGGAAGTCGGATGAGTCCTCTCACTGCTGGACTTCTGAGGTGGAGAAACTGCTCACCCTCCACTGCCATGAGGGGTCCTTCACAATTCACACCTTCACAGTTTGAACCTTTGTGGTCAGCTTTCTCTCTTCAAGGACAGAGCTGGGGGCTGGGATGGGGACATCTTGAACTTTTCATTGGTGAGTGGAAATCAGACTCCTCCAGGTTGGCCACAATCCTTCCTTTAGCTTCTTGCCCTCCATCCTGAAAACCCTTTTGGGTTTTCACCTCTCTGTGGCTCTTCCCATCCTGGGAGACAAAAGAATGTCCAAAAGTAGTTTCAGATCCCTGTGGGGAGGATCTGTCCATGCTGACTGGGGGTGATGGCAGAGCACCCCACATCCCTTTGGACCACCAGCTCCCCTTTCCAGAATGTATCCACAGGAAGGAATAAGGAGCTCAAAGCACATGGGACCTGGAGGTGCCTTTGGGATTTCCCATCCGGGAAAGACTTAAAACAACTTCCCTCAGCTCATTGTTGTTTCCTCATCAGTTTGTTTGCTTTGGCTGTGTGAGCTGAGGCAGTTCTTCAGCTGGAGACCCTTCTCTGGGAAATGATTGATCCCAATTAGAGGAAAGGATCAAGTGTGGAAATGCTGGTGGAGATGCCTGCACCATCCCAAAGAGACACAGCCAAAGGGTAAACCAGTTACTTTGAGGCTGAAACCCAGCACCTCAGGGATGAGCCACCCTGAGGAGCTCCATGATCCTGGTCCATCACCACAAGCCAGGGCCAAACACAGTTGTCCCAATTTGCCATCGTGTGGGCACCCAAAACACTTGGATCTTATGGATAGGTGGAGACAGCACAAGGACAAGATGGTTGAATTTCACCAGGAATTTTGTGCAGCACAAATGTAATGCTTTGCATTAGAAACTACTTGGTGCAACTTGCTGTTGCCTCCCTGGGAACCCTGTGCTCAGTTCCAGAAGCACAATAAGCAATTTCCATGTGACTTCCAAACCATGGATGGAATCACCCAGCTGGATTGATCTGCAATTTTTAGTCTGTGCAACGAGTCTGTGCATTTCTCTAATGGGAATTGTAAGTATTCTCTTAAGGAATTTTTCAGGTCAATTGAAGTTATTTCCTCATTAATACCATTCAATGCAGCGCTGTTGACTCAGTTTGCCCATCCCCTCACCAAGGGCTGTAAGGATGGGGCCTTGGAGTTTCCTGAGAACCCAAAATAACTTCAATGCATGAGGCACCTCCCAGAGGGACCAAAGCTTCCCAGGAATTCAAACTCAGGGCATGGACTGCCTGTTTCCAAGGAGAACGCAGGGATCTGCTCAAGTCTTGCACTGGTTCTCACTTTCATGAAAGTGGGTCCATCACATCCTAGCCACCACAGCAAATATTTAAAACACACTTCCCTGTTCTTTCCACTGCAGAGGAAATCAAACCGGACATTTATTTTGGGGGGAAAAAAAACTCCGTTTCATGTCTGACATCACTGATGATGCTTTCTGTGGGAGCTACTCAGATGTCTTTACTTCTCCCTTTCGATTCTTCTTCTCAGAAGATCATGCTGTAGCCTTGAAGAAGATGAAAAGGGAAGGCATGTCCCAAGTGATTTATTTTTTTGATTCCAAGAATTGGTCTCTTTCTTCTAAGAAGGAAAAGTCTTTGTTTTTTTCCTTTTTCTGTGGAAGAGCAGAATTACAAAAACAAGGCGAAATTGAGTCACAGTTTTCTCTTCCACCAGTGCCTGAGGTTTATACTTAGCTGAACCAAACGTGATGGTGACATTTTATAGGAAGATTTTGGAGGTATCCCAGGTAATAATACCCCTTGATTCAGGGATAAGAGGTTTTTCTGCTCTGCTTGCTGGTAGGTGACTGAACCACCACTTGTTGGAGGTTTTACCAGGAGCAGCCTCACAGAGGGACAGTTCCATGTCCTCCATTTCCAAAGGGGAATTATTTCCATTTCCAGCATTACCTTGGCAGCACCTTCTAAACAAAGCTCAGAGCAGAGCCAGTGTTCAGACACTTCATCCAAACACCAAGAGGAAACCATAACAAGGGAAATACAATCCTGGGGGGTCCTGGCCATCAAGTGTCTGTGTTTGGGCAGAACCAGGCACGGTTGCTGAACCTTCTCTTTTGATGTGGTGGCTTGCACTTGTCTGGGGGCTTGGGTGGCTGGGATTCAGGTGGGTGTCCAGCCCAGGAGCATGGCCAGGAGATGCTGATGGACGCTCAGGAGATGCTGATAGGGATGTCAGGCGTAGCTTTGGGGGGTTGTAAGACCATC